TTTCCTCAAATTGAGGTAATCCTTAGCTTAACTCCCCAATTTTTGCCTGCCTCCCATTTTTTTTCACTTGTCTCAGTCTGTTTTCCTTTTGAGACAGTGCTCTCCTTAAGGTAGGGGAGTCAGATGCATGTTTTAGCTACATTGAAAGTAAAGTTCTGTTTTCCTAAAAGTAGTCTTTAAGGTAATGAATGCCGTCGTTCATGTCTACAGGACAGTGGTCACAGAGGAGGAGCACTCCTGTTAAATGCCTGTTCCCCATGAAGGACAGCATGAGGATTTCTCCAAGTAATTTTGTTGTCTGGCAGTCTTGCCTGCAATGCTTTCTTACTCATTACTTAATAATAACAATAAAAAGATTTTTTTTGCCTAGGAGGGTTTTGGATAAAGAGACCTTAAGTCTGTTTTGGTATTTGGTAATGGAAGTTGTTCATGTGCTGAGGAGAAGGAAGGCATGTCTGAAGGTGAAGGTCGGACCCAAGGTGCAGCTCTGGCAGGAGCAATTGTCTGGGGGAGGAGTGCAGCGTTGGGCCCTGAGGTGCTCTCCCAAATCCACCAATCTCAGGCTGATGGGTTTTGTGAGTCAAAGGTGGTTTTGCGTGAGCTACCAGTTGATTTTTCTTCCATGAGGTCTTCTGAGCACTGTTTGGACTTAGTTAACTTCGCTTATCCATGACATCTGAGGAAGGGTGATTTCAGTTTTTAACTTCATGTTGCATGAGTAATTTTTTTTTCTTTAGATTTTTTGTCAAGTTGGCTCAATTTGTGTGTTGGGAGGCAGTGAGCAGTGATTTCCTATTCACTTTCCCTGTGCTTCTCAAGATTCTGTAGCTCTCCGCTGTCTGTTTTCCTGGATGAAGAGCTCTGCTGTGTTCAGATGCTTCCCATATGAAAAGCATTTCGTGGTTTTTATCGCCCTCACTGCTCTTGTTTTACCTTTTCTGGAACAAAAGAATAGCAAACAACCCCACAACATCAACAGCAAAAAAAACTGTACAGCTTTTCCTAGTTTTCATAGTATAATTTTCCCAGCATTTTCAGGTTTTAATGTTATGGAGATTGCTTTTACTGTTGGCTGTTCCCCAGTTGGAACATGGAGCAACGTGTCCATGACAGAGAACAGTAACGTTGAGTTGTCAGTACTTTTGCATTTCTTAAAGTGGGCAATTGACTTTCTGTAAGACTCCATGCAGCGTTTCTGTGTGTTCTGCTTCAAGTTCACTGTGGAGTGGAAATGCTTCAGCTTTTCTGTTGTCTTTGCCGAAGTGTTCCTTCTAAGAGCAGGTTAAGAGTAGGATTTCATTGTAGTTTGGTTGGACTCTGCTGTATATTTATTTTGGTCTGTCGAAGAGAGGGTAATTAAAAGATAAAACATCTTAGCTAGTGTTTGTTAATTGTTTGTAACACTACTTCCAATACAATTACAAGGTTTGCAGTTGAAGCCTGTGGAGGTGGTCAGTTCCCTGCACACCTACTGCCCCAATGCTGCGAGTCATCTCCTGCTAATGAAGGGGTTATGCTTGGATGGAGGTGAATAACCTGGTAGTGGTAGACCACAGAGCATCAAGTGATTACCTCAGGAAAAACAGATTCGGTGTATGCCTCTGCATGCATGTGTTACCATCATTACATACGTTTTAGGAAGTAATAACTTGAAATAATGCAGCTGTTGAATAGCTTGTTATGTTATGATAGTTTTTGATTATGTTTCTGAAAAGGAAATGGATGTTAATATAGATGTTTATTACTCACAGCTTTCTTAATGGCTGGATTTTTAATGCAAAGATGTTTTAAAGTCCATTTTGAAGAAGAAAATAATTCATTTTAACAAACTCCGTACTGGAAAAATGAAATTTAAGCTGAATAATGTATATATTCATGCCATACATCGCAAAGGAAGATATTGTTAAAACATTCATCATAGCTTATCTTTCCAATTCAATAAAAGAGCTACTAAGAAATAGCAAAACTGGAGTTATTTCTTCGGCTGATGTCCTACCGTACACTCTCAAATTGTGTTTTGGCAGAAGAGCAGGCATCGGTGATGCCAGAATGAGTTATTCAACTTGTAGGCAGAATTTAAGCAGCCAAGTCGAGTGTTGAAGACTTCATCTTTACCTATACCTCAGAAATGTAAAAGTGAACAAAACCCAACAACAGTGCTAAGAATCCTTTGCTAAGACTCCTAAACTGAAGTGAAAAATTGCAAAATAAGCCAATAATGCAGAATGAGCAGTCAGGCTGTTACAGCGCAGCAGCATTTCTTTCTTTCACCCTTCTTCATGTTCAGGTGCAAGCAAAGCTAAAAGGACAAATCAAAGCTCTTCCTTGATTTAAATCAGTGTTTTGTTATTTGCAGATAAAAACATAAATATCTCCAAAAGGAAATAAAGTAGTATCTCTTTCCTTCCTTCCTGATGTCCACAAAGGACAATAAGAAAACCCTCCCTGGATGCCAAATACAACTAGGATTGGAGACAGGAAAAAAAGAACCCTTTTCAAAACAAAATCAAACATAGTAGCTTGGGAAGGACTCAGAAGCAGCTCTATTTTCTTAGTCTGTTTCCCTAGGAATAAATTCAAATATTGGCTTTTTTGAAATCTTGGGTTGTATACTTCCTCCCTCTCTTGGAGGGAGATTCTTGGTATTCCTCGGTGTTTATTTCAAAGTGGGTGACAAAATATGTGATTCTGAGTTCCAGAAATGCTCTTTAAGGGATTATCTTTATCATGTGAAGAAATAGAGCGAGTGGTTGTTTTCTTAAAAGACAAAATCGGCACAATTTTAATGTATTTTTGAACTTACAACGCCTGTGCTGCATTGCCCTAACCTACCCTGGGTTTTGCTGTATTGATACCATCATATGCGACCAAAATAATAACGTGGAAACTTGTGGTCAGAACTAAGTAATACAATTGTACCCTCCAAAATACGAAGTCCAAGCACCGCTGGCTGTGGCTGTGTTACCTGGGACACTGCTTTCAGGTGCACTGGTGAAGTGCCGGCTGTTTTACTAGGCTTTGTTTTTCTTGCTCACCATTAGCATTATTCTGTTCTCACTGTTCATAGTTCTTGACCTGTGTACCCAAAATGGCCTTGTGCCCAGCAGATGAGGTTTCAAGGTTTGTAATGTAGATTTTGATATATGGTTGGTTTGATCAGAGCTTTCTGCCCGTGTCAGACCAGGTGTGTGGGGGCCCTCGGTTTGCTGACACCATGAGCCCAGGCTGTTGGAGCACCATTAGTGTGATGTGCGGTAGGGTTACTGCTCAGAGCGTGTGCTGTGCTGTCTGCTTGCTGTATCAGGTTACTTTCCTTGCAGTGTGCAATACAGAGACATCTGATGGGAACAAAGAGGAAAGAGAGAGGCAAAAAGAAGCATAATTTATGTAAGTAGGAGCACGTGGAAACATATTTATTGTTTATCTACAGATGGATTTCTTCTCTCCCTTCTCCTAAGCTTTTTGTGGTTAAAAATTACATAAATTTATTTACTTGGGTAGATTTCTTATCATAACTTAAACCATTAATAAATTAGTTCCAACTATTCCTTTTTAAATCTGACCATATACTGAACAAGTAGAAGAATGTTATCTGAAAGAGGTAGCAGGCAGATAAATTTGGTATGCGTGCAACTTCCAGTGATGTCCTTTAAAGCAAAGGCATAACAGCAGCTGCTGTGCAGGCGGTGCGTGTTGCCAGTGGAATTTATTTCTGCCCAACCGTGTACTCATCGACTGCAAATGCTCTGTCGTGAGCAGTTGCAGTGTGTAAAAGAAAAAGGGGTGGGGGCAATTCCGAAGAGGAGGGCTACAGGAGCGAGATAAACATCTATGTTTGCCTTTACAGTTGTCACTCATGATCAAGGAAATAGTCGAATCTGAAATTTTAGGAGATGAAAAACTACCAAATTCCTACTTTTTTAATTGTATGAATGCCAAAATATTGTTAATATTGTGTTTTTCAGACAGCTTAGATTTGGAGTTGGTATAAATGCAAATTATAGCAGCTTTTGATGGCACAAATGCTTTAAGTTCCTTTGCACATGTATTTTGCAAGTATATTATTTGGCAAGTATGTATTTTTTTATTTGTATGAATACAAAAAATAACAGCATCAACCTGTTTGGAGAGGGCTTTCTTAATTATTTGACAAACTGGTGTGCTTCAACCCTTTATTTAATTCTTTCTGTATATTGAAAATGCTCAGACTTTGGAAATGTGAGTAATTTAGTTGGTAGGTGTTTAGAAATACCAAGTGCAGCCTTTCTCAGAATAGAATGTAGAACATAGTTCATTCTTTTGTTTTTTCTAAACTGGAGATGCAAGGCAGTCAGAAAAACACCTCTTGGTTCGTGATGTTGGGATTTGGTGGTTTGGTTTTGAATTACTGTGTATTAAGCGTGCTCTCTGTGTTCTGGGAATGTGTCATAGGCTGCCTAGGAAGATTAATTTTTCTCTTTTGCTTCCTAATAGCTGTTTTCAGTATTTTATATAGTGATAGAGCTTTCCATAGCCTTGGCAGCAGCTACAGATGAGAAGTGCATTAAGCCGTTTGGTTCGGGTCAGTGTCGCTAGAAGATTGTTTCTTGCTGTGTGTTAATGAGATCTTCCTTCCTTCAGTGAGCAGGCAGGAGCTTTCGAATAACTTGATACTCTCTGAAAAAGATTTCTTCTCAGTCGTGCTCGAGAAGACAGGTCTAGCATCTCATTTGCTCATCACGAATTCTAAAAGCTCGTCCGTATCTGATTATATCCTTTATATATCTTTTGCAAGCTGTTCCAGCAAGTAAGCCCAAACTCACTTGGGAGCTGCGCTTGGTCTGGTCAGGTGCATCTCTGTCCTTGGCTCCCTGGGGTCCCACAGCTGGTGTGAAAGGTGACGGTGAGAACATGAGTGAGACGCTTCTCTGCTATTTCCAAAGGCGTTTTTTGTCCCCTCTGGAGGGCTGGGTTACTCCATGAGGAAGCTCTGTACTAAATGTGCTCTCTTTCATTTTCAGGCCAGAGCCTCAACAGAAAGCTCCCTCTGCACCTCCGCCTCCGCCGCCGCCCCCACCTCCGCCCCTGCCGGAGCCCACCCCACCAGAGCCAGAGGAGGAGATTTTAGGGTCTGACGATGAGGAGCAAGAGGATCCCGCAGATTACTGTAAAGGTGTGTGCAGTTCAGTGGTGTTGGTGAAGGTGAACACTGTCACGCAAATCTTAACTCTGGTTCTTGGGAGGCTTTTAGAGACCTGATCTCTAATTACAGAATATATTAATACGAGAATTATGGACAACTGCTTATTTCAGGTCCAGATGCATAATACACAAATATTGCATCCCTGTTTTCTTCCTAATGTCCTAGTTACAAGAATAGAGAAGAAACTTTCCTTGATTGATGTTAGTTGTAAGAGAAGCAAATACCCAAACCAAAACAAACAACCCCTCCCACACTCTGAAAGTTTCTAAAATGCCTTGATGCCTTTAACAGCGTGATCTACATTTATTTTTGTATCTTTTTCCCTGTTTTTTCACGTGCACCAGCCCAAGATGTTATGTGCTGCTTTTTTGCATGTTGTCTTTCGCAGCCCTCAGCGTTCTCTGAGGTTTTCTACATCATCTTTTTATCTCTTGATTTCCTTAATTTGTGTAGTTACTTAGATTCATTTTTTTGATATTGTTAAATGCATAAAAATACATGAGTGCAGTGGAACAGTGTCGATACTTCAGGTTGTTTCAATGTCACTGCTAAAGTTACAAGTCTGTTCTCATTAGGGTAAACTGCATACTGTGCTTACATGAAAAACCACGAATAACATGTCTATAACTTTGGGTTATCTATTGAAGTAGATTTCAAGGATATGAACTTATTTTATGAAACATCAAATTTTTATCACTTCAGACTAATATTTTTGAACAGGGGAAAAAGCAGCATATACACATGGACTGTGTCTGGTATTCTGTATTCCTCATACCAAGAAACACTTTCTGTGTCAAATACGATGATGTCTTCTTAATCAGAAGGTTCTGTGCAAGCCTGCAGATGTGCTATTTTAAGAATCTTCTCCCAGCCTGGAACAAGTTGTTTTGTATTTTCAGATTTAACAGCTGAAAGTGACTATTTCATTTTGGTGTAAGAATTTTTATTAATATGTGATATTTCAAATATTTAAGTGGCTTCGTGATACCAGTAGTGAAAACCAACAGTAAACTCGAACTGAACGTTGAATTCAACAGCAGGGAGAAGAAAAACATGCTGTTAAAGCATGCTTGTAATTTTTTAAAAATTATTTTTGTTACTACACATTTGTTCCTTAAGGTAACGCTTCTGCTATCTGTAATATTTTCCATCAGTGAGTAAGAATTAGTTGTTTAAACATCTGTTTACTTGTAAACATCTGTATTTCCCCAAAAGTAAGTGTTTCAAGGCCCCCACTCAATTCTTCCCTGAAGTAAAGGCTGCATTTAATTTCAAACAGTCTGTTGTTGTCTGTGTTCCTTTATCTCTTGCAAAATGTCCCCATCTGGAGAAGCTACATCACAAACCAAACCAAAACCAGTCTGAGTTTACAGCCTGCTTCTAAGTTACCTGTTAACTGGAGTCTTTCTGCCTATAGCAGGTTGGCAGTGAGATTTTTATGCTTTTAAAATGAACTACGTGTCACACTAACAATACTTGCAAGATTCCTGAAAAGTTAAAGGGAACTTCTGAATGCTTAAAGGTTCTTCTGAATCCTTCTGGCCCTGAAGCTCGAATTGTTGGAAGTATATTAAGGGTAGTTCAAGTTTGGGGTCGTTTGGATGTCATAACTGTTATTTGTTTCTGTGAGGACAGTGCCTGTGTTGCTCCAGCAGATGATTTACCTGTTTTCTGACCGTAGTTTTCTGTAAGACTGATAGCTACATTTGCTGCTTCTGCTCTGCTGGGTTGAACTGAAGGGAAGGTCACCATATTGTTTAAGGATCTGAATTGCATGGCCAGATTGGGATGATCTGGGGCTATGCAGACTCTGTTTGTTTATTTTATGTTCAATTTAGGGAATGAGTAAGTTATTTAGTAAAGAATTTCAGGGATGGCTTTTAGAGAAATTATTTCCATTTTTTTGACAGGTATTTTATTAGTTTCAATATGTTTTTCTGTTTTGGGCAGTGTTACCTGTGTTTACAGAGTGGAAGAGAAATATTTGGAAATCATCATTTATTACTGGAGTGTCTCTTTTCTTCTTGATTTTATCTCCAAAATGGCAGTCTCCCAGGATTTTTGAGTGAGGCACAGGGCATACTTCATCTGTCTTAACTCCACTCTGAAATTTCATAGGAGAGGAATTTTGATGAGGGAGAATATAATTAATTTTTTTAATTAATTCAACATTTTACTGGTTAACTGTAACTCCCATTGGCAGGGTATTTTTGTTACTGATTTTACTTTTTATTTTTAAAGGTATGTTAATATGTGCTGGTCTCACATCTTCACAATGTTACATGGTGGTTAGTAAATAGTTATAACAGTATTTTTAATTGGGAAATTGGATTAATTGAAGTAGCAGCTGATGTGAAAGAGACAACCACCAGCCATAGGTGCAAAGTAGAGTAACCTCTGTTCCCCAGAGGCTTCCTTCAGGACCAGTTTAAATCCATTAAATGACTTCTCTTGGTGTCAGTTTATTGACATTAAATGTTCTTCCAATCTTTATTTGTTTAAGGAATGGAAATATCAAAAGTGCAACTACGTGCTTTTTCAAGGGGTACTTAGACAATGAAGCTGTTTTTTCTTCTTTTCTGAAAAGCCTTGAAACACTTGGAGGTTTTTTTCAAGAGCCTGTGGTGTCATGGATGTAATTGGAATTCTTGGCTTCTCTGATCATCTTCTTTACCCCCTGGAGATGTCTCCCATTCATCCAGTTCACAAAGGGAATAATTCCCTATACAAACATAGAACTTGCCAGCCACAATTACCAATACATTCAGGAGACGTTTAGGAATAATGAGCTCATTTTTCTGACCCTCTTTCTTGAGTGCATGTAGCTCGCTGTGAGAGACTTCTTCTGTGTGTGCTGCACTGCGTAGCACAACAAGTTTTTTTGTTGCGTTACCAGTGCCACTTATGCATTGTACATTCTCAACTAGCAATATTGTTTTTCCAAAAGTACATCATTTTTCTCAACCCACTGTTTTTGCAGAGATGCTTTCTTGTCACTACTCTTTAGAAATACTTTTTCTATCACGAAGAACTTCAGTTACATTCTGCATAGGATGACACCAGTTTTTCCAACATATTTAGCTAAGTGTGTTATTCCTTGGTTGTCCACAAGCTGTAAACGAGGGTATTGCTGACACAAATTATCAGGGAGTAACGTGTACAGGAACAGTGATGGATTATTTCCAAAACTGCTCCTGTTGTGGCTTAGGACAGTATCTTGTGCAGTATATATATACTCAGAGAATGTGCTACCGCTATGGGTATCTGTAACATATGATGGTGTATTCCTATTATTAGTTACGAGAGTGCTGTAGGGACCAAAATAACATGGCTTTTACATATATAGTAATGTTATTCTTGCAGTACATAACAAGTATTACCTTAACTTAACAACCCCCAGCTTATTAACTTGACTTCGTTGTCTTGGCTGATTTCCTCTCCAGGGTGTTCTCTCTCCTGTCTGTGATGGGAAGGAACGCCCAAGTTTTAGATGATTTTTGGCCCTTTGAAGCACAAGAATGCCCAAAGCTGTCTGCAGAGAGACAGACTTCTAAGGCTCTTGTTTACCTAAACTATTCTTAGAAACATGTTTACCTGCATTTAAATTACGTATTGTTGAGTGTTATGCTGTTAACACGTCAAAAAAGCAAATGTTATATTTAGTGCAAAAAATGACTTCTGGACGTTGTTTTATATATTTCAAGACCCACTTGTACCCTTCTGGCGGTGCAAAAGAGTGCTTGAATTGTGACTGTTTCCATGTACATCTGAACTCGTATAGTTGTTACGGAATGATTTAATAGGACCAACTGCTTAGGAACATCTCTGTATTGTTGAATTTTAGAATCTGTTTTGCAAACCACAGAGAGGTGTTAAAACTAGGTGTTAAATAGTTCTCGGTTTTTCTAATAAATCTGTTTGCAAAAGAAGTAATGATTATACAGAGAATATCGTTTCATACTTCTCACTGTTTTCATGCATTGATCCATGCAGGACAAAACTCAAATCGGAAGAAATTGTGCAGTGCTAGTGAAGGATGTGGAAGTGTTTTATGTAATTCTAGCTGTCAGGTCAGCAGACTTGATTCATTTCACAAATGCAAACCTTTTCAGTAATGGAAAGGTAGAATTACTCTGTGTTCTCTCAGCCTTCCCCTCACATCAGTCACTTCATCATCCTGGATAGAGTTTTACAAAAGGCTTTACCAAAAAGTATTTTTTGTTGTTGTTGTTGTTTTAAACCAGTCAATAGCTGTCTTAAAATACAATTATAGTTATTTAGATTTTAAAGTATTTTCATCGGGTGGTACTGCAAGGATGGTTAAATAGACAAATGAGTATTTTAGGTTTGTTTTTGTCAGTGTGGTTTTTTATATGCGAGTTTACTCAGCAGATTTTCTATGATGTAACAGCACTAGGCTTGGTCTGCACATGTGCTTGATACGGATTCATTTTGTGAATGAAGTGGCAGTACAATAGCCAACACTTAATAAGTCTGTGTCCTCCTGCTTTCCTGAAGTGTAAATCCAGTTGAGTGTGCCAAAAGTGATCTGTTTTCTCTTTGAAAAGTGAGGAGTGCCCGCTTGGCCTTGTTAGTGAACTTGACACAATTCAGTAGTGAAAATGAAAGGTTATAAATACGTCCGGATTTGATTTCGCTGTTCTGCAGATAAAAAGGAGATAAGAGAGAAGTCCCTGTTTTAAATCCAAGGAATTAAGTGATCAGGTCACGTTGTTGTCCTAACTGGGCACAGTTCTAACGATTTTCAGGAGATTTCAAAACAAACATAGCGACTTCGAGACAGTAGTCTGGGGTTTTCCTCATTTTAAGTGGAGTTGTCAATACCCGGGGATCTTGCCAAGGGACAGTTGGCTGTGAAACTGGGAAGGACCAGAAAGAGCCAAAGAGGTGAATTGTTGGCAGCTGCTGTGAGTCTGCTCAGTCTGTGGTGAAGTCCTGGAGGGTTGCACGCTGCAGCTTTACTATTTGTTTGCAATTTGGGCAAAATTGTGGATGTTGTTGTTACTGTGTTACGGTCTGAATAATCATCTTGTGTGATCACTGTCATCTCTGGTTTTACTGGGAGGAAGAATGCCTCTTAAAATACAAAGAAATAGAAAAACTTCATTACACGTCCTCACACTGCCTAGAAGCTGGAGCTGCAGCCTGCTCTGTCCTGTTGGCCTTGCTGCCTGATGGGGTTTTGAGGACCTGTGCAATGCTGTAAGTTAGGACCGCAACTTGGTAATTAAGGAGCTGTTCAGACACAGCCCATAGCTGCCTGCTCTCCCTTCTTCCTCACTGGAAAAGCCTCAAACATGAGAAAAATGCATTGCTGCTGTGGGTCAGGAGCCGAGCAGAAGAGCAGCTGTAAAGTCTGCATTGCTCTTCACATTTTCTCAGGAAGTGTTTTATTGCTGCCTTTATTAGTAGAAAGCAAATGGGAATCAAAACAGTCTCTGTTGAGATCCTGCAATCATCCAAAATATGTTGACTGGAGAAGCTTCAAATGTGATAAAGAAATAATGTAGATCTTTTCTGTGCTCTCTGTGAAGTGGAAGATAAGCCTGGGGAAATAGAGAACAGATGGTAATATTACCACAAATAAAAGCCTTAAGAGAGAAGGGGGAATAAATTCTCCAGTAGTTACAGGACAGGAGTTTTTTCCCTCCAGGCCAAGTAAGGCAGTATTTTCAACATTAGAGTGAAATTTTCTTTAGACTTCCTATTTATAGCACAGGACAATTTGAAGAGAAAATCCTACACTACACAAATTACTTAAAAACCTGGGAATTGTTGTTTTCTGAACATTCTTTTCTCACTTGTTTTTTCATGGAAGGAGGCTATCATCCAGTGAAAATCGGCGACCTTTTCAATGGCCGGTATCATGTCATTAGGAAGTTAGGATGGGGACACTTCTCTACAGTCTGGCTATGCTGGGATATGCAGTAAGACAACTATTGATTTCCATTCACTTTTTTCTTAATACGTTACTTTATTTTGTTTGCAGTAACTTTTGTTTTACAAGCATGATAAAGTTATGTAAATGTTTGCTTTTTTTTAATGCTGAAAGATACCTGCAGTCTTATTTTGCTCTTGTTTAGGAATGTAATTTATGAAAGCTCTCAGAAATAAGTGTAATCCTAATTTCTTTGACAGATTAGTTTTGCTTACTAAATTTGCATGTTCGTCTTGAACATGAGAGAGTAAGCGAATGTTTTTATTTCTGTTGTATTTTTATTGAAAAAACCATAATTATACCTTGATTGAATGATAAAACGTGTAACCAAATTCCTCTTTTAAAGACATTAGCATCAAGGAAACAAAATATTCAATAAATCAGCCTGTGTACAGGGTACTGTTAAAAGTTGGTCTTAAGTGTAATGTTAGTGTTTTCTGTCAGAATAAGTTAGGTTGTGAAATATTTTATTTAAAATTTTCCAACCTTCAAAGTGTGTCTGTTTTTAGCTCAGAGCCTGTGTTTAAAATGTTTTTGTTCTTTCCAAGGGGGAAAAGGTTTGTTGCAATGAAAGTTGTAAAAAGTGCCCAGCATTATACAGAGACAGCCTTGGATGAAATAAAGTTGCTCAAATGTGTAAGTATCACACGTGCAATACAGTGCTCAATACCAGTAATAGTAGTAGTAATGCGTTCAAAAAATACAGAGGAATATTGTTTTTAAACTTTTAAGTTTATTTTTTTCTAAATAGCATTACCATGATTTCTGAAGCTCCAAAATATTGCTTATCTTCATGTGGAAAGCTAACTAATTAGTATTTTAAAGTGCATTTTTTCCTAAAATGTCAGTGTTTACGTTCTTGATTTAGGTTCGAGAAAGTGACCCTAATGATCCCAACAAGGACATGGTTGTACAGCTCATTGATGACTTCAAAATTTCTGGAATGAATGGTATTCGTATCCTTTTGAAAACGTGGCATCTTCATTAAAAATGATCTACTGACATAAGTAAGCATTTGGCTGTGGCTTTTTTCTAGTTAGTCTTACGTCAGATTTGTAGCATAGAATCACCAGAATGTATGTAAATGTAATGTAAATGTAATGCGCTCACTGGAGAGAAAGCTTAATAAAATTTTAAAAAATCCAGTGAATCCTGTCGTGGTCTGCTACAACTGGAGATAGTTTACTTAAAAGCTGGAGTTTTACTGAAAAGATTTGTAGTAACTGAGGCTTACAGGAAATATGTTTTGCTCAGTACTGGTAAAGAGAAAGCAAGTGTCAATGTCATGAAGAAACCGGTTTCTGTTTTCTTACAGGAAGTGTGAGAGCCTGGAGATTGTTCTCTTGTTTATGTGATCCTCTTTTGGCCAGGTGTTAACCTCTTTCTTGGCAAAGGTTTTAAATCTTTACCTTCAAATGCTTCCTTTAAAAAAAAAAAGGAGAGACACAAAGTAAAATATGACTGACTATTGTTCTCAAGGAAAATTGTGTGTCTGTGAATACTTTTGATTTTAGAGTCGAGCTAAAATGAATTGTCCTTGCTAATTATATTAGACATTTTAGCAGCTTATTATATTTCTGTGCTTTCATTTAGCATTACAACTGTGTATTAATGTGTATGCTGCTTGTGTCTTGGAGCCCTGACCTCATTGTTCACGGTGTCGTACAGCCAGACAAAGTGACAGTTCCTGTTCTGGGGAGCTTAACGCTGAGTTGATTTTGGTGATGTGCCTTCAGTCTCCAACAGATCAGGTTAAGATGCTCTTCACTGACTCTCATCTTCTAGGGGGTGACTGTCAGGAAATCTGAATGCCCACTAGAAAGCATCCTTTCAGGGTGAAGTGTGCAAGCAGTTTTCATCTCATCCCTCTGTCTCTTGACATTAGTTACGAAGCCTTTGGGTTTGTGTTGTGAATGAGACTGTGAGGATGAATATTCTCAGTTACAGAATGGGGGCTTTCCCTTTGGCCTGTTTTTGGTTTGTTTCTTGGTTGCTTCAGTGGTAAGCTACCGTGGTAGAAGGCTGCATAAATGTAGGTGAGGTTAGTGTTTGCTTTTTTCTTAGGTTTTGCCATCAAATTAAAATGAATTAAGATAAACCATACAGTTGCTATTAGTTGTTTCAACCTGAATACAAATCGATTGGGATAAAGGAAACTGTTTAACACAGTGAAGCATAGAATCCTGGTTAACGTTTCTTGGTGCTTCTGTTGTGCTACAAAAAAATAGGTTTTAATTTTTGAGCTGAGATGCTTATTATGAAGTATTTTATAAATACCTCATTGTCTTCACTACATTTAGGAAAATAATAAGTGACCAAAGCACTTGAGGTCTTCAGCTGACAGCTGTACAATTGAAGAACAAAGTTATTTTTAGAAATCCTAAATTTTTACTTGCTGTTTTCCTTGTGAAACACTAACATGAAATAGGGAATAAGAAAATGTATTCGTAACTATACATAAAAATAATTCTTATCTGTTTAACAGAGCAGTTTCCCAATAATGTTCTTAAATTATTGCTAAGATTCACATATTTGTCTACTTCTGTATTAAAGGTGCGAGCTATTTCTAAGTGTGGAGGGTAAATTTTGTTAGTGATAAAAAAAAAGCATATCCAAAGTTTAGCTTTTGAAATATGGCACTTAAGTGGGCAAAGCCAAAAGACACCACGTATTAGTGAAAAATAAAGGTTCAGATAACTTTGTGTTAATGGGTTAAAACTGGACAGCTGGTGTTGATTTATTGTACTTCAGTTTAACCTTCATGTTGAAAGCTCTGGCAGTACAGAAGTTGTTTTACGTGGAAAGCAAATGTTCCTGCCTTACTGAGAAGTACACTTCTCAGCAAGCTGCAGTAGACAGGACGGACTGATATTGGACTCAGATGTAAATTACAGCTGGAAGTCTATTGAAGTCCCAACCACCAGTGAGAACATGGTATCAAGTACCTTATGCTTTGAGTTTTCTTGTGAACGGTTTGTTCCTCCCGAGTTGCATTTGCGAAGCGATTGATTGCATTCAGTATTTTCTCAACTCCTTTTTATCTTCTAAAGGAAGAAATCTTTCGTGCAGGTTCTTTTGGGAGGGAGCAGGTAACTGATTTTAACATTTTGCTGCTATTTGTTTCAGTTTTTAAAATGCCATGTAAGTGCTACTTTAGTGCTATTGAGTTGAACAGGTTGAGAGAAATACATTAACTGGAGAGTTTTTCCATGCTCTGCTGTTTCCAGCTTCCTTTGGGCAAGTCACTAAATATCTGTGCCTTGACTGTAACTTAAAACAACATATGCTTCACAGAGGCTTGATTACTGGTTATGGTATACATTTAAAAGTTAAAGCAAGACAGAAGAGAGGTGGGTGAATCCCTTGGATGGCTAATGCCACCGAATGTCGTGGAGCTTCCAAGCAGGGAAACTTGTCGAGAACTGTGTTAGCACGGAGCTGGGAATGTGCAGAGCCATTGGCCTGCACCGCGTGTCTGAAAACAGTCACATTTCTCCTAGGAGCTGTAATAAGTGTTTATGTACAGAGGGATTTTAACACTGTGCGTTATGCTGCACTAGACTGATAATTTTTCAACTACTTGCACATTTTTAAAAGGTTGCAATTATGATTTTTTCAGGAAATAACAGAATTCTCGATCTTGGGCACTTTGGTGTTTTCCGCAATCTAGATGATTATGTTTGTCTGCATTGCATATTTATCAGAGCCTTAGTAAATGTTTATTTGAGTGTAGCATCTTTTATTAAAAGATTGAGATAATCACATAATGAAACAACTGTTTGAAGAGGCAAGGGAAAAAATAAGAAGGAAACATTCCTGACACAATCGGACATTATAATTGTAATAGATTTCTCTCCAAAGAATATACTGCATTAATTAAACGCCATAGCTTCTAAACGCTGCCAATCCAGAAGCAACTGAGATACATCCGGAAGTGCTCTGTTTTGGTACCAGAGCCTTATTTCATTTAGCTTGACGAGTCTTTAATCCTCATCACATTTCTAAATGCTCCTGTAATGTGTGTTTGTAGATAGACAGTTACAGGTAGGGTTTTAGTCAAGAAAGAACAGTTGTAGGTACTTAAGCCTGTCAGCTGATGAATGTTATGTTTGTCCTCCTTTCAGACATCCTCTGCCGCTTCAAAGAGCGTTTCATAAGAGGCGTTTCTGCTGGGTAGGCTTCAGGTTTATTTTTGCCGGAGGACTTTTTGGACATTCGCATCTGTCAGGGTGCTGGTGCTGTAGGGGGCTTGCAAGGCTGATTTCTTAATAGTTAATGCACAGCTTTTCCCAAACTCTTTGCTGTGGACATTCTGGCTTGCAGTTAATGTTTTTCAGGTCAGGATAGTAAATCAGACAATGGTCACATTTTCACATACCTACTCCAAACACTGAGCCTCCTGTATATCTTTGCCCCATCCCAGTTGCCTCCCCGGTACTGAGCATGCCTTGAGTTTGTCTGAGTGCTCCCAGCACAATGTTGCCATGTTTTTTTCAGGTGGACATCACTTCTCTTTCATGTGACCCTCCCTCTCTTTGTCTGCCTCTGCCATTCCTCCTTGCATCTTTCTTTTTGGTGCCCTTCCCTTGCCTCTCGCATATTTAGTTCCTTACACCCCTTTCTCTTCTGGTTACTGGCGAGGCTTAGCACTTCTGTAAGTGCAAGGAATGGCAAGAATGTGCACTGGAGAGTTTGCAGCAGCAGTGGTCTGAAGGAGTGTGGGCGGGTGTCCTAAATCTCAGTTCTGAATGCTGCAGTGTCTTGCCTTTCTGAAATCTGTGTTGCTGTAGCATTGCAACGTCACTGCGTGGGCAAAGTTAATGAGCCCTGCAGAGCTGATGTGCTCTGCTCGGGCTTTTTGATGGCTGGGTGTTTTACGAGTGAATTCTGTTCATTGGATGCTTGGGTGGCAAAGTAACCAAGAGTGTTTTCTCTTCTGAATGGAACGGAGTTTTATAATAATTGAGTAGACTTGATTGAAATGATTGGAAAATGACTGCTCACTGTCTCCTCTGACACAGGAATTAAGGAACATGAAGTGAGATGTACAGGTAGCAGCAATCAATATGTTACAGTTCTTCACAACGTGCTTTGACCTGTCTTGAGTCCTTTTAACTTTGGTCCAACTCCAGCATAGGGGATGTAGATTTTAAGAATTCAGTTAGGTTTATGCATATAGGTAGGTACTTGAGGAGAATGTAAGTGATAGGCCCATAGACAAAGTAAGTCTCATTTTGACACAAGTTAAGACAATGACTCTAAGATCATTGCCGAGACTCTAGTTAATAAACCTTAGAGAAGTTCTGTTTCTCCCCTAACAGCATAGTTCCCTGTGAATGGTCTCTGAAATAACAGTCTAATTTCAGCCATTGAGATTTTCCTGCAGTGTCTGTCAGTTAATTCAGTTTCTGTTATTTGTATTACATTGCTCTTTGCAAGGTTATGGTATCATGGCATTAAGACTTCAGCATTCTTTCTGATTCCCAGGGACATGGAGGTCATTCTCAGCTCATGTCTGAGGATTAACTTAGTGTAGCGAAGTTGTGTCATTTCTTGCCAGAATGTTGTGGAGGGTATAACTTACAATTAGCTTGACTACCTGAATATTTTCTCAGTAGAAGGATAACCTACCCAAGGTATATTAAGTGTAGAAGCTCTAATGTAAGGAAGCCTTTGAACCATGAGTGACTGAAGGTCTCTTAATCTTGTTTTTTCCTAGTAGTCTTCTCTGATCATCTACTGCTGGCCTCTGTTGGTGGCCAATAGCAGATGCTGGGTCATATTAAAACTTTTTGGTGTGTTTTTTGCATGTTGCTTCTGAGTTCTGCGTTTTCTTTGTTCCTTGTTCTTTGGTGATTGCCGTTGTTCTCTGCAGTTAAAGCCGTAGGTGGTAAGAGATCCATTTTCTTACTACTTCAGTCTTTGTTGTCAAGTGGTTCTTAACTGAGCCTAATCAAAAAGTTGTTTAGTATGGTTCATTTTTTAAAACACTGTTATTTCAGTCTTTTATTGTTAAAACCTTCTATTCGTATCACTTACCATTCATTAGAAACTAGATACAATAGAGCAAATCAGTACTTTTAACTCTTTCAAAGAAAACAAACATGAATTAGTTCATTATTTCTTACGATTACCTATTTCATTGTTCAGCCTAATGCTTCTGTTAACATGTAGCATAACTGACAAGATTTGCATAATTAAAATGTTTTAATTTCTTCTACATTTGGGCACTGTTCTTGTATGTGTTTGTATATGATTATATTGAAATGTAGTACCAAAGCATATACCATGCTCTGCTCATTTTAGGGGGAACAGTTTTCCCTCTAAACAAGGTGATGATTGCTTTAGCCAGTATGCAAACAAACATTTATGTTCATCTCATCAACAAGTTTATCTGGAAATTATCCTTAATTAAATCCCAGATGTCTGTATGGTCTTTGAAGTACTTGGACATCATCTCCTAAAATGGATAATCAAATCCAATTATCAAGGCCTTCCAATCCGCTGTGTAAAAAGTATAATTCGTCAGGTAAGATTTGTTAACGTTGAATGAGTTTTTTCCACCATTGTCAACAGTTTGAAGGTTGTAATGATGATATTTCAGCTGAACCTTGTACTAATGAGTATCTAAAATATGATGATTTTACTCGTAATCCTGGGGCGGATTGCAAGAGCATCGTTCTGGATAGCCTGTGTTTTCTGCATGCTGGGGTTTGTTGTTGTTTTTTCACTGGTTATTTTTGTTTTTTCTTAAGATTTCCAACTGATAAGGCAGCTCCCTGAGCTGCTTTAGAGAGTGAAAATTTGAAGCAATGACTCTTTTGTAGACGTAAGGATATTCATATTCAGTTGCAGTTTTGGTTGACATGACGTGCTTCTTTATAAGATCTGGAAAACAAAACATCAGAACAGTGGGAAATTATTATTATGAAACTGAACAGAACTTGTGTCTCTCTGAAAAATAGGTTCTAAAGGAAGAAACTGGTCTTTGAAAATTGTTGTCTGTCTGTATTTAAGTTGACTCTGGGGACACCTTATAGCAGCCTTCCAGTACCTGAAGGGCGTCTGCATGAAAGATGGGGAGGGATTTTTTGCAAGGGCATGTAGTGACACAACAAGGAGTAATAGCTTTAAACTGGAAGAGGGTAGATTTAGACTGGATATTAGGAAAAAATTCTTTACTTTGAGAGTAGTGAGACACTGGCACAGGTTGCCCAAGGAAGTTGTGGATGCCCCCTCCCTGAAGTGTTCAAGGCCAGGCTGGACAGGGCTTTGGGCAACCTGGTCCGGTGGGAAGTGTCCCTGCTCATAGCAGGGTTTGGACTGGATGAGCTTTAAGGTCCCTTCCAACCCAAACCATTCTGTGATTCTTTTTGTAGTCAGAGGGCTAAATTGAAAAGGAATTTTTAATGCTATGATTTGGAAAATATTTTTGCCATTTTTGAATATTTTTGAGTATTGGGACAAAACCAGGCTTACTGTCAAATGCAGCTGAGAGTTGAGCTTCTTAGTAAGAAATTTCATTTTGGTTTTAAGCAGTTTTATTTCCCCAGGGTAGAGTTATATGAACTGTCATGCAAGAGAACAGTGCAGGATTGACAAAAGAACTAGTTGCTGCAGTTCCTTTTTTTGCAGTAGAGATGATTGGAAGTGTCCATTTATTTAATTCTGGAATTTTTGCTTAGGGTTGTAAAATACATAGCATCGGTGTCTTTTGAGAGGGTCGTTTTCTGAAACTGATGGTGAAACGAGCATTGTGTATTTGATCAAAATTTTTCACTTTTGTTTTGTTTTATATAAGGGCTGTGCTGTCATCCAGCGAGATCTGGA